ACCCACCACCCCCCGCCCTCCAAAAATTCAAGATTGACCCACAGTACGTGCACAAAAATACCCACGTAGAACAGCCCGTTGCTCCACAGTCCAATCTTCTCTTAATGATGCTTCCCCCCACTTTTTTCCCCCTCTTTTAATTAATTCCACGCATTCCACAGGAAACAAAACAAGCCGAAGTGAAATTCCAAAGTGCGGGGGGAAAAAAACAAGAATCCCACCGGTGGATGACTTCCAGGACTTTTGAGGTGATACCTCCAGCTGCGCGGAGTTTCTCTCCAGCCGGGTGCGCCTCACCTCCAGCGGTGTCGGGAGCGGTGGGGGGGAACCATATGGCGCGCAACGGGGGCAGAGCCAATACACAAACTTCCAACCACACAACGAATGTGTATCATGTATTAAACGGGCTATTTTAACGAATTAACCCCCACTAAAGAGCACTTCCATTTTTTTTTTTTTTTTTTTTTTTTTTGCTTTCCCCAGCCCTGGCTTCAATTTACCTTGAGTAATCCTCTCGTTACAATCCGTCAGAGCGAGTACATCCACAGGGGGTGAAAAAAAAAAAAGTTGACTCCAAAAATGCGCTTAATAGTCCACGGAGTGCGTCTGTGTGAATGTGAGTGTGTGTGTGTGTCTGTGTGTCCACGTCCACTGAGTGACTGAGCGAGGACGACCTGTGAGTGGGTCCAACTTACAGTCCTGCCTCCTACCTCCCTCCCTCCTCTCAGAAAAGTCATCATCTGGCTCCAAGTAAGTCGCGCTCAGGAAATGACCCCCTCCCAACTCCTCCCTACTCTGGATCCGCGCCCCCCCCCCTCTCCCTTTTGCACCTTCCAGACTCTTGCAGAAGAATTGTTTTTAATTCCATGAGTGAGCCTCATCACCGCAATAACACTAAAAATGTGCTATTGTATTTCTGAATCGGACTCATGAGCAGGGGCGTGCAAATTGACTCAACCCCCCCATCCCCCCCTGCCTCACTCTCAATCATTATTATTTTTGATACAAAGCAAACCTCCTTGCGTCAAGACACCAGACACATGAAACGACAAGAACGACTTCGCAGAGGATAAAGAATATATGCAGAGTGTTATTGCACGACCCCTTGCTTGTAAGTCCCGCAGCATCAAGTTTTTTTTTGCCAGTTTTGCATTGTGTGTTAGCATGAAGCTAGCAGACTTTTTTAAAGCAGGTGGGGTGGTTAAATGCGTGATGTGTTTTATGTTTACACTTAAAGTGGAAGGAGCAACAAACAGCTTGAAGCTGGCTTTTGGAAACTCCTTTGAAAAATTTGCCACCATTTGGCACGTGTGACTCAATTTTTTATTTTGCGTGTTACTCAAGTATAAAAATAGTCTCCTTGACTATGCATCTTCAAGGCGTGACTAGTCTTACTTTATTTTAGTGTCATTTTTTTCTTGTTTTCTTGTCAAATGCAACATTTACTTGATATCTTGACGACACAGGCAATGTCAGAGTTATTAATATTGACTCATGATTTCTACTTAGCATTACAGCATAAAAAAAATGACCTTTTTCGGTGCCAAATGTTACAAGGAGTATCAAATGTTTTTTTTTTTGGGTGGGGGGAATGTAGAATCTCCACGAGGTGTCTTCAAGAGTTGAGCAGTTTTACTATGCTTGAGCTTTGTGACGCAATTGTTAATTTCTAAGTTTGAAATGTTAAAATTCTAATTACAGTAGTTTTGGGCGGCAAATGATTTCTTTTTCACGAGGCGGCCTGGGACAGACGAATTTATTTATTTATTTGGGAAATGAAATCAACTTGGAATTTGTTTTGGTCACGTGACAGTGAGTGAGTGAGGTCGAGTCGACTGTTTCTGGCGTGCCCCCCTCCCTCCCTCCCTCCCCCGGCCTCTCCATCCAGTAGTTTGCAGTCTGAATGTAGAGTGCAGTGACGCGCTGGTCTTGTAGAGGGCGCTCGAACACAATCTAAATATCGAGCCAAATTGTTGCTGCGGCGCGCGGACACACACATCCAGGCTGGCAAAGTGCAACCAAGTGGCAAGCATGCGTCAGCTGTTTACCGTATAGATGGGAATTGGCTGCCCCCCCCCCCCCCACTCCCGACCCGAGGCTGTCGTAGTAGGCCACGAGGTGAAGAAATAGGCATCCTCGCACAGCCCCCTCGTCCCCAAAGGCTCACCAACACCCCCTTACGCACCCCCTTCTTCAACATGCAGACGTTGGCTGGACGCAATGACTTCCACATGTTGGGCTGAAAGAACACTGTCCTTGTTCTGCAAACAAAAGCGCACCACCGCAAAATGGCCGAGCGTCGAATATATTTAATGTGGGATTTTACACGAAGTGGTGTATTTATTTAACTTTTTTTTTTTTTTTGCGCTCTGAATATAACTCAATGAAAATTGCATGGTAAGTTTGGAAACTTTGTGTGACTAAGATCTAGAGTGCAGAAAGGAAAAAAAAAAGATTGACGACGTGTTCAAAGTTGCCTTGCAACGTGTACTCGCTGGTCACTTTATTAGGTACACCTGCACCGTCTGAGCCAGGCTTTGTCCTCTTTTGGGTCACGGGTGAGCTACATCCTTTAGCGGCTGTCTTTGAGCGACAGGTGGGGTCCACCCAGTCAGCCACTCGCCCATTCGCACACAATTTAATCCTCAATCAATCTAATATGAATATTTTGGGAATGCCACTTCTATAGGTTGTGCTGATCACTGGTGTACCTAATAAAGTGGCCTTTGAAGGTAGGCATATTTCATGTCGATTGATACTGAAGCAATCGAAATGCATATCCTGATTTAAATTTAATTCCATATGGGAATAGTTTCAATGTATTTATTCTTGAGGTGTTGAATACAGTGAATAATAAAGTACAGAAATATTCAAAGTTGGTAACAAATACTTCAAAATCTGCGACTGACTGTCCACGAGAGGTCTCTGTTTCGGGTCGAGGCCGGGCGTCTGGCATTTTTGCCTATAATCAGACTTTCAATATTTTAATTATGGGGGCGGAGGAGTCAATAAAAATCTTTAAAATGTTATTTATATGCAAAGTGTTTAATTGTTCACGCTATCTCCTTTTTCTTTTGGCAAAAATTCGAGATATGACGTGGCTAGCCGACAGGCGTGACGTCACGGCCACCAAGCGCAGCTATTTTCAGGTCCGGTCCTTTTTCGCGTGAGCTGTCCGGCGTTCTGAAACGTAAATAATTGCTCGCTCACGCGATGTCCCATAAATACACAATACATAATTTCATAACCCTTAACTGGAAACTCCATTGACCTCAACCCACATTTCTCCACGTCAGACTCCACCTCCAAGCGGCCGTTTTTTAAACCGAAACAAGGATTCTGGCGCGTAAAAAAAACAGCCTATTGATGAATAATTGACGCCGATAGCTTGAAGACATTCCCGAACCAACATCCAAAGCAAATTTGTTCCAATTTACCATTTTTTTCGTGACGTAACCCCTGGGAACTTGAAATTGCACCGATTTCCCCGATGGAGTTCGTCACGTGCAGCACTGCCGCCGATTAGACGTCACCCGGCGATCAATTGAGGCGCGTTTGCGTCCCTCCTCCCCTTTCGTCCTCGTCAAACGGCAGCTGCACTTGCGATTCAAAGGACCCTCATATTAATTGTCTTTTGTCATGCGTAATTGGCCACTTTTTCAATGGCGCACGGGGGGCTTCAGTGGAGCACCTCAAATGGACATTTGATTTCTTTTTGGACAGGTGAATATTTTCTCGGGGGTGGGGAAATAAATGCTCATATGATGATGATGATGATGATGAGGGTGAAAGTCAACATAAAAAAAAAAAGTCAGTTAGCTACGCATGTACATCTCTAGAGTGGTCCCAAACCTCCCACCCTTTCTCCAGCACCTGCAAGGCAACACTAATTCACTTAATAGGAACTTTAGTATATATTCATTAGGTGCCCCTCCCCTATCACCCAATAATAATATATGATCGTATGCAGAATGTGAAAGGGGGCTGGGGGGAGGGGCATTTACCCCGTGCTGAATGGGAACCCCAAAAAGTTCACCTGCTTCCCCTCTCAATTAGGAATGTATCCCAATCTCTGAGAGAAACGAGTTAAATTAGGCGTCAGCTAATTTTTAAGCACCCCTCAAGGCCACCCTCCCCTCCCCACACCTTCCCCTAATCCTCTTCCCATTCGTACCCCCAAGTTGAAAGGTTCAAATGGGCCCTAATGAAACAGTGACTAAAACTCGCCTTGTGTGGGTCTCTGTGTGGAACCCTGTCGATATCCTCCACCCCTCACTCACCCTCCCGCCCTCAAAAGCCGTGTGAGCACGTAGCCCCACCACATCAGGGGGTCTCCCCTTCGGGACAATCTAACCTGTCAAAGCCTTTGGCCACTTCTATATATCCTGTCCCTCGGTTGCGCTGCCCCAAATGGCAGGATACAATCAAGCGACGTGGGACCCCAAACGCAATTAAACTTGCTTTTTAAGAACTGCCGGGAGGGGGGTAAAAGGTAGAAGAAAAAAAACGTTTTTTGTTTTTTGTTTTTTTTTTGAAAAGGGACCTTTATTCAATCGTTTGTGAGCTCCATTTGGAATTAACAAGGGAGTATACCATGGATAATGCACTCTGATAAATAGTAATATGTGGAAATGACTCATGGGAGCTGTGCAAAAAGTTTAGATATTGAAGTAAAAATCAAAAGTACATTAACCCTCTAAATTATAATTTCAGAAGGATATTATCAACCCATGTTTGGATGTTGTAACTGAGATTGTTTTTCCCCACAATGATATGCCAGCACATAACACGCAATTGTATGTAGGGCATATGTTTTATATCAGTAAAGACAAATGCATTCAAATGTTAAAAAAAAAAAAAAAGAACACGAACAAATGTGACAAAATAAATATTTCCAAAATAAACATTTAAATAATTGTATATAGGCATTTAATATGACGAAAGCCCTTTCATCCATTTGAATATGATAACTTTGTATGTATTGTAGAAATATAAAATCAAATGTCACATCAGTAGTTTTGGAGGGTGTACGAGTTGCATTTAAACATGTTTAAGATGACCAAAAATGGAATGAATGAATCGATTCAATCGATGGTGCAAAGGCAATTATGGGTGAAATAAGTGACATATCCAAAGTATATTGTTTTATTGCAATAAATACACACGATATACACATAGCTTGCAAACACATGTTGCTTACGGGTTCCACACACAGGTTGTCCTATATGCTGTTTTAGATTTTGCTTCTAAGGGTTTATCATCAACACACAAACACGCACACCCGCTCACAGTGAAGAGGTCAAAGTGGAAAACTTCCCGGCCACGTGGGACGGGTTCTCAAACTTTTTGGGTCCAGTCGCCCCCTGACTGGAACTATGTTGAATTGAATTGAGGAGCTTCGGTTTGACAAAAGTAGTGCTTTGGCACCATGCCGTGGGATCACGGTGCCGAGGAAGTGAGTTGAGGCGTTTCATTTGGACGAAAGGAGTGCTCTGCTGCCCTTTTGGGGCATTTTAGTGCCAAGTAAGGGAGTTGAGGAGTTTCATTTGCACAAAAGTAGTGCTTTACAGCCGTCTTGTGGTTTCTGTAAGCTCTTACAAACCTTATTTTCCACCAACACTATCATTGCAAGTCAGTTGACAAGCTTTGTCTTGTGGAACAACCGGTTTGAGAACACTGTTTTACGAAATCGAGTTCATTTCTGTCAAAACGTGCATTCACATTATCAATAAAGTTTTCCTCTTCAACAGTTTTCATGCAGGTGGATTTTTAGGCCCATAGAGATCACTTGATCCAAAGCCTCGGCAGTCACATGATGAGCACCCCGTCCTTCTCCTCTGAGGTCGAGGCGGGAGAGAGGGACTCCTCATCTTCCGAGCGAGCGAAGTGCACGGCCGAGCACTTGCACGTGCCGCCGCCTCCGCCACCGCCAGGCGCGTGGGAACTCCTCTGCGCCGCCTTGCCCTCCTTCTTGTGTTTGACGCGGCGGTTCTGGAACCAGATCTTCACCTGTTTCTCGGACAGGCTGAGGTAGGTGGCGATCTCGATGCGGCGCAGGCGGGACAGGTACATGTTGCTGGAGAACTCGCGCTCCAGCTCCAGCAGCTGCGTGCTGGTGAAGGCCGTGCGCATGCGCTTGCCGTTCTGGATGTGGCTGCCCTCTGAGGCGCCTGTTGGTGGCAAGAAGTTGCAAGTTTAGGCCAATGGGAGGCATAATGACTTTGCTTTCTCCGTAAAAAAAAAAAAAAAAAAAAATTCACAAAAAAATCCTTACTTCACAATGTGTCAATTTCACCCACAACAGGTGGGTTAAGCGGGTCAGTTTGACCCTTTTCCAATATTGTCAGGGATCGGGGGTAGGGGAACAAATCCCCCAAGCCATTATATTATATTGAGTCAATTAGCCACTCAAATCAGTATTTGTAGTTGATGACGCTCATTCAGCTGTACATTTGTTTGAGCCAACGGCATCACAAGTGGATCACGTAGCCCAAATTGATCCATTATCATGTGATCAAGACAGTAATTGTAGTGGCTTTAGCATGGAAGCAACTATTCGTATTGCTTTAAATAGGCCGGCGGCAAGGAGGAAATAATATGATGTTAACTATGTTTATTGGCATTATATTCATTTGTGATGCTTTTTGGATAATGGCTTAAACTGACCCAATCAATGTTGAACGGGTGGGTCAATTTGACCCCCTGTGAATTTTTTTTTAAGTCATAACGGTCGTGGATTAATTATCGTATTTATTGGAATTAGTTCTATATCAGACACTTTTGCATCACGGGTCCGATTGACCCAGAGATATTGTTGCATGTTCCTGAGAAACTAACGATCACAGAAGCACTCAAGAAATGATTTTGAAAATGTAAACAAGCACTAGGAGGGCATGCCAACCGTTGACATAAAACTGGACGGACATGTTCATTGGAACAGGACACATGAAAAAGTCGCACTGACCCATCACAGTTTTTATCTTAGCAAAGAAAAAAAACAGAAGAGGAGGGCTGAAGCCATCACTGTGACATAATGTCCATAAATTAATGATTGAAGACACAGACACCCTATGATTATGTTTTTTTTTTCCCCTCTTAGATGGTATGTTGAGTGGTTTATTCATTTGAAATGACATTTTATTGTTGGCACCTTTTCTTGTTTTGTTTCCAAATGTTCAGAACTTAGGTCAACCATGTTGTTTTAAATATTATCTAAAAAAATTAAAATCAGATTGGACTGAATCTAGAAAGCAACACTGGGCCACAAAAAACAGACCTGGGACTCGTATTAGGCCCCCAACCCACAATTTGGGAACCCTTGCTTCAGTCGCACATTTGGGAAATCTTTTTTTTTTTTTTTTTCAATAAAGCTGGGTCATGATGAGCCTTCAATGTTTTGGCGGACCAAAGAAACAAACAGAACGGAGGGGTTAAAATGTATTTCGCCCCATAGCATCATTGCCCAAGTCATTTTTAGATTACTCAATTAAAAAAATACCAATGTGCTTGCTAATTTTTTATTGTTTTTTTTTTTTTTTTTTATGTGTAGAATGTAAGTGATCCAGGTTGTGGTAATCAAGGAAACTGCATTTCTTGTTTCTTCGCTTCCAAAAAAAATGAATCAGGCAATTATGCCTTCAGGTTAATTAATGATGGGCAGGTTATTTTTGGACAGAAGATCAACAACATAAATTCATGATTAGAAATGCGATTACGTGCCTGATTGATGATTGATTATGAGTTGTATATTATTTCGTATTTTAAACTTCTGTAATGTTACAATGTTGTGTTTTATTGATTTTTTTTGGGGGGGTGCACTGAAATCAACTGTGTTGTTTTTAAATATCGATTAGGTTGATTCGATAATACAACCTGAATCAATTGACTCACCCACATAGACTCACTTTTTATTTTATGTTGAGGGGAAAACAATCCAAATTCCACTTTGTCCTTCAAAAGGTGGTTCAATAAAACAGTTTCTACTCCGTAATCATTATTCTTTATCTGCTCTGCTGTAGCAGAGTAGCATCATGAGCTTATCATATCTTAAAAATGTTCCTTGGACCCATTTTGGGCCCGCGATCAACAGTTTATACTGTCCATAGCAAATTCATGCACGAATGTTATGCTATAAGTTCTAATTGATTAAAAAATATTTTTATTCAAAAAATTCCCCGCCATGGAGCATGTAGAAAGAACAAAGTGAGAATCTTACCCATGGAGATGCAGTGGTACCTCCGCGGATCGCTGAAAACGGACGCCGCGCAAACAGGTGCATGTCCCGGATGTGCCAGCGCGGCCGACTGGTGCTGGTGGTGGGCGAG